AAGAGAGAGAGAGAGAGAGAGAGAGAGAGAGAGAGAGAGAGAGAGAGAAAGAAAGAAAGAAAAAAAAACAAAAAAGAAAACAAAACCATCAAACAAACAAAAAACCTTGAGAATCAGAGCCTTAATATTCAGCTGCTGATCGACAGAGCAGATACGTATTAAAGACCTTTCATGTGCACCGTGATGGGCGCTTACATCCATGACTGAGCTCAAGCCACATACTGTGTGTTTGTTTATGAGTGAGGCACTGTGCCCATTTTAAAGATGAGAAAATTGAGGTTCATCAGTCAGGTTACTGATGAAGGGAGCATGGCTATGGGTGATTATTTTTCTTATTCCAGTTCAAGTTTGGCTCAGGACCAGCCTCCTTTTTGTGGTCTCATCAGTTCTAGCAGATGAACGGAGACAACACAAATCATGATCAGAAACACACATAAACATTTAAAAATAGCTGGGTGTAGTGGTGCACGCCTTTAGTCCCAGCACTTGGGAGGCAGAGGCAAGTGGATCTCTGTGAGTTCGAGGCCAGCCTGGGCTACAGAGTGAGTTCCAAGACAGCCAGGACTGCTACACAGAGAAACCCTGTCTCAAATAATAATAATAATAATAATAATAATAATAATAATAATTCAAAATGACATCTTAATTTTTAAAAGTCAGTCATAAAACATAACAGCAGAATGATAGAATAAACATCAGAAGATAACATTCTCTCACCCAGTCCTTGCCTTTGAACCCTTTGGTTAAAATGTCTATTACTGACAAAAATTTAAAATAAACAACCTCTGAATAGAATATTTCTTTTAAATATAGCAGACACTTAACATCACATCTTTTAAAGTAATTCTGACTAATTTTCTTCCTCTGTGCTCATTAAAATTCTACCCCTCAAGTGCTAAAATTCCACAGGCCTCTGGCTCTCCTTGCGACTTACCCCACCCTCCTGAGTCTCACTCTGTTTTTATGACATCATCACTCCATACGGTACTTGGTGATTAACTGCAATTGCTCTAGATACATATCTCCAAATGGGTAATACATCCTTGGAGATATAGGCCCCCTTTATTGATTTTTCTGTGTAGCTGAACCCAAGATCTTGATAGTGTTATAATATTGAAGAAAAAAATTTAAAGATTTATTTTTACTTATGTTTATGTGTGTGTTTGTGTGACTGTATACCAAGAGCGTTTGGGTGCCCGCAGACACCAGATGAGAGTGCAGGATCCCCAGGAGCTGGAATTACAGGGGGTCATGAGCCTGGTGTGAGTGCCGGGAATTGGTCTCAGGTCCTCTGGAACCACTGGACTCTGACCCTCCTAACCACTGAGCCACCTCTTCAAGCCCCTGAAGAACTTTTTAAAATGAGGAAAACGCTGCAGTGTAAAATGTTGCTGGCATCTTCTTTCTCACATTGTATTTTAAATGACATTTATCAAAATGTCGACTAAGAACTGGCTCCAGGTGGGCACAGATCACTAGGGTGTTGGCTTCTTTGGTTTAGTCTGGTTTGGGTTTGTACAATACAGTAATGACGAGTTTCTTATCAACATCTTACTGATGAGGTCTCACAGACAATGGAGAGTGTTATCAATGAAAATGTTATCTTTTTTTTTTTTTTTTTTTTTGAAATTAGGGCAGATGCCTAGAAGACTTTCTTCAGTCCACATACCAGCCGTTAACGGCCTGACATTGTGTTGAACCTCCTGGAAGATGCGGTCTTGGCTTCACAAAGCTACAGGCTAGTAGCAAGACAAGGTCGCTCTCAGCATGATGTGTCTGCCCTGTAAGTTTCTATAAGAATCACACGCTTTGATAGAGCAGAGTCAGATCTGTTAGCATCCTCAGTGGTCTGTGCCTGCGCTCCCCACTGGGTGAGCCTTTTCAGATTTGAGTTTGGACATTCCGTGATGGACAAAGGCCATATTGGCATTTCATAGGCAGGTGGCGGAATTACTTGAGACTCTGCAGGTGTGGAGTTTCCCTGAACAATGAAGAACTGTCCCAGATCCCACCTGACTGTCAACTGATAAAAAAAACTCAAGTCTAAAGATGTTAAGTCTGGAATCCGTTTGACAGAGAAATGAAACTGTTTTTGCACAAGACTAATATTCTCTACATTTCCTCAGAAAAGCTGGGCTTGTTTTATTTGGGGTGTTAAGAGGAATTAGGTGATGATTTGGAAAATTATAATACTGAAGGCAATGCCATATCTGCCTGACTTGGTCTGTACCTGCGTCACTGTGCAGTTAGGGAAGCTTTGCAAAAGAGGACATGTCAGCTCATCAGATTGTCTTTCCAGGCACATGCTGGCATTCTGAGTATTCACTGGGATAGCTGTCCTTATCTGTGGGGCTAGAAAGACGGCTCAGCAATTAAGAGCACAAGGCTGCTCTTTCAGATCTGGGTCCAGTTCCCATCACCCCCTTGGCTGCTCATCACCACCTGTAATTCCAGTTACAGGGGAATCTAATGCCCTCTTGTGGCTTCTGCTGGTACTAATGTATGTGGTCCACAGACACACACTGGGGAACACACACATATACATTAAACATTTTTAAAGGTCCTAAGAATATACAGAGGAAACTTCATCTTAGGTGAGTACTCTATACACCGATTACTTTGTGGTGTAATTTCAGACTTTAAGGTATACACAGGGAGGTTTCAGTAGGAGCTGAGTCACACAGACATTCATGAAATTTTATGAAGGTCAAGGAAGAACATGATGTACAGTTAGACAAATTATTTGAACAAAAGGTACAGCTAAAAACTATTTTATTGAGAAGTAAAGAACGATGCTAGGTCACAAACATATCAGCAGCTAAAATAATTTTAACCCTGCTTTGATGGTCTTACTAACCCTGACTATTTCTGAAGTAGGGAACATGCTGGTGCTGGGGGCAAATGTAATTTTAATTTTTTCCTTTCACAGAAAACAAAGGATGGCGCTGAGCTTAAGAAAGACAACTTCTTCTCACCAGCGGTCATTTTAAAGGCTTGTTGAGTGTGGGTTGGCCGCTCTGGTGATGGACAGCACCCTGGCCCCTTGTCCATTTCTGAAGTGACACTTGGTCGTCCCTGCGGCTACCAGGTGGAGCCACTCAGCAGGTTCTTCTGGGTAACTAGGTCACTCTGTCACAGAGCCAGCCGCTACGACTTTCGCTGAGATCCAGGTGACCAGCTTTGATTTACTGTGGTTTCAACTCAACTGTGTAACCCACATTCTCAGAGGAAAGAGGGGGTCTACAAGGGGAGCTCTGGCACATAGAAATAAAGCAGAATTAAGGCCAAGAAACTTATTCCCCCCTGGCCTGTGCTCTGGAAATAATTTATTTTATATGATTAAGAATGTATCTCATCAGGCAGTGGAGACGCACACCTTTAATCCCATCACTCAGGAAGCATAGGTAGGTAGATCTCTGAGTTCAAGGCCAGCCTGATCTACATAGTTCCAGAACAGTGAGGGCTACAAAGAGAAACCCTGTCTTGAACACACACACACACACACACACACACACACACACACACACACACACACACAAAATAAATGTATCTCAAGGGCCTAGAGAGATGCAGTTAAGGTCACTGGCTGCTCTTGCAGAGGATCCAGGTTCAATTCCCAGCACCTACATGGCAGTTCACAACCATCTAGTTCCAGGGGAGCTGACACCCTCTTCTGGCCTCTGAGGGCTTCAGATACCTATATGGTACACAGACATACATGCAGTCAAAACACCCATAAATTACAAAATTTAAGAGAGTGTATGTCAGAATGCTCCCATACCTCTGGCTAAGGAGGGATGCTGCACACACCTGGGAGAAAAGCTTGCCAATTCTACGCCAAATTTGAGAGGAGCCGGCGCCTGAGGATTGGCATTAATGGTGTACCGCCCCTCCTCCCTCCACAGGAAACAACTCAGAGAACTTCTGTCAGATAGAAAACACAACATTTCTTAAGACAAAGGGAATCAGTTCTTTATCAGAATATACCTTGGGAGCTTGAAGGATAGAACAGGATTCAGGCTTGTCAACAGAGTAAGGAGCAATTATAAACTGTAATTTTATCAACAACAGTATCTGCTAGCAGATCGTTTGAGGTGGTTATGACTGAACATGATCCCTTCCCATGTTAATAATATCCCTTAAAAGCTGTAAACTGGGGAGAAAATAGACCCACTTACCAGTTGTGAATGCAAAGCTCTGAAAAGCCCATACTACCTTTGAAATAGGCCCTTGAAAAAAGACACAAAGGTAACCTCAATGATGCTAGCGAGGGGTCAGCGATTTCCCTGAAAAAAACACCACGCACCACTATGATTTCTTTGCAAGCCCTGGCTAGCGCTCTCATCAAAAAAATCACATTGCCACTATAAAAATACCGAGTCTGATGCGGTCTCGATGAGCCAGACACACAGCTGTCTGGGGGTCATCTGGTTATAAACTACGTTAAAGATGGGAACGTGTACACCCTTTCACTATTCAGTATTTTACTCCCTGGACAGAGGAAACTCACTAGCAAAGAAACAGGTGTTTACCCGGGAAACAGGTCCCTGTCAGACAGGAGGCGACCAGGACGGGGCTGAGCACCACCCACCCTCCCACATGCTCCGCACCCCCCCACCCCTCCAACCCCCCACCCCGCCCCCAGCCCCCCAGCTTCGCAGACACTCTGCAAGGTCAGGGGAGTGAGGGGCAGAGAAGAGGGCAGAGACCGGTCCCCGGGGAGGAGAGCCAGGCAGGGCCCGCCTTTTACAAGGGAACTTAGTGAATGCACACAGGGGGTGCTCAGCTGACGGGGTGCCCTGTCAGGACCCCAGAGGCAGGCCAGTACAGACGCCTGAATGCTAACACAGCCCACGGCTGGTTCTCATCCTCCAGCTTCCAATTGATTTCTCTCCTGCGGTAGCTGCTTGGGCGGATTTTGAACACACAGCCAGCACGCTGCTTTGCCGCTGTTTGCTCGTGTTTGAACTCCCTTCTGCGAAAGGAAGAAAAGCCGGCCGGCCGGAGGGTGGGGCTGGGTGTGTCACAGCGAGAGAGGCGGGCACGGGGTTTGAGCCCCGCTACCACCACCAACAAAACAAAGACCCCCCCCCCCATAAGCTGCGGGCCCAGCTCCCAGGAGTAATTCTAGTTTCTGTGGTTCGTTTCCATTTTCCTTAGTTTGGCCATGCTGGGGATATTCTCCACAAACACTCTACCCTCCACGGACAAACTGAGTGGCCCCAGGAATAATTTTTAAGTCCAATATTGTCATAAACCAAAGACAAGAAAAAAAATGCCATTTTGCTTAAAATGTACTTTTTACATTTTTGGGTTTCTTAAAATATTGAAACATCCCACGTCAAATTATTAAAGCATTAATGAGTTATTAATAAATTAACAAACTGAACTGTAGGGCCTAGGGAGGTGACTCATAGGTAAGGCTCTGGCCACTTAACCCGAGCACCCGAGTTCAAACCCTGGGACTCACGGGGTGGAAGGACTAAAGGACCCCTACAAGTTGTCCTCTGCCACCCCCACCCTGTGACCGTACCCCCATCGATAAAGAAATGTAATAAAGTCAACCCGTGAAGCTTCTCTGTACCTCAGTGGTGCTGGTCGGGACTGCTACACACAGTTACTTCCAAAGCCTTTTGGTTATTAAGGTTTATTTCTAATGAACTATATGAAGACGCACATTCCTCTTCCAACTTAGCTCTCTGCCTCAGAAAACAAGCATACATTTAGAGAGAGATCCGTCTCTATATACAGGTCACTATATACAGCTGAGGGGTGAACATTCTGGAATGTACAAATCAGGAGCTGCTCACCTCTCCATCATCAAGTCGTCTTCAAGGCAGAGGGAGTGCATCTTCTCCACAGATGTATATAGTGACACCTAGTGGTGGCAATTGGTACAGACGGAGAGGGACGCTCGAAGCCACAGACCCACCTAAAACCACCCAGTCTGGAGGTGAATTCCAGACAGTCCAGGCTCACTCTCAGTCTGTCCACCTTCTCTATGAGGGACATCATCCTTAAAGGGCTGAACGTCCACTGTGAGGTTTTTCGCTTCCTCTTAGATATGATAACCATACTGAGATATGAATGCACGATAAAAATAGATTTTCAGAAAAAAAATCTCTTTGATTCTTTCAACTTTTCGTTTTAAGGAATGATGAAGTAAGCAAAAATCACAGACATGTCCTTCAAAGATGCCCCACCGGGTGCCCTCCAAGCCCTGTGTGGTACACCCCAGGATGACATTAGTCATCAGAAGTGAATTCAACCTGGGACTGTCCAGGCGGGCAGAACCACACACCAGCCTCCAAACACAAACAGCAACATTCCTCTGCCTGGGAGAGACAGGCGAAGTCCCAGTGACATGCCTCTGTGATCTCACGGTCACGGTTCCAGGAGACAAGGATGGAAACGCCTGTCAGGGACCAAACAGTACTTTCCCAAAATAGTTTGTATTGAAGGTGCAACCGCCGGGGTGGTGATGTCTTGAGATGGGACCTACGGAAGGTCATTAGGAT